TGTTCTTGTCCTCATCTTGTCTTCACTCTTATCTTGTCCTCATCATGTTCTTGTCCTCATCATGTCTTCACTCTTATCTTTGTCCTCATCATATTCTTGTCTTCATCATGTTCTTGTCCTCATCATCTCTTCACTCTTATCTTGTCCTCATCATGTTCTTGTCCTCATCTTATCTTCACTCTTATATTGTCCTCATCATGTTCTTGTCCTCATCTTGTCTTCACTCTAATTTTGTCCTCATCATGTTCTTGTCCTCATCTTGTCTTCACTCTAATTTTGTCCTCATCATGTTCTAGACAAATTTTTCTTGCCAAGTTGCAAATTTTATCTGTTCAAGATTTTGTGTGTACACTGCACCCTTACTGCAGTTGTAACCCTGGTCCCTGCTAAACCCTTGGATTAGAGCCCACGTATCATGTCTTGTTATAAATACATAAAATCGTCAAATCAAATTCTAAAAATGCATTCTACGTGAAAGACATTAATTTATTGTTCCCTCTAATCTAAAAAATTAATAATATTGTCAGAAAATATGTATTTGGTAAAATCAGAAAGATCCCTCGAACATTTTTTTCTTTCAATTCAAAGTTTAAAAGAAAATTTTACCCAAGCTTTATCTTGAAAAATCCTAAAACCATTTGTAGTGAACACTGAACATAGAGATGTTTTTTCTCCATACTTGAAATTGAAAAGCTCTGTTTTCCCTTTTCTTAAGAAAGTTGGGGGGGGGGGGGGCATAATTGTTCGATACATTTGTAAATTCGAAAGAGAAAAGTAGCTATCATCAACTAACAGATATACATACTATCCTTTCTTCTTCTTTTCCTCTCTTTTCTTCAATACCTTTCCTCTATCTACTACTTTCCTTTTCCTCCTTTTCCTTCAGTTCTAAATTGTTTTTGTTTTATTTGGTTTTATTTAAAATTGAACATGTATGTATCGCTGCAGAAGGGTCTCTCATTCAAAACAACCAATAATGGTTAGAGAGGCCCTGGCTAAATTAAAATGTAAAAATTTTGCAATTGAAATTGTTTTTAATTAAATATTTAGTCAAATATATATCTATCTATCTAATTGTTAATAATTAACAACCAATTGCTAACAATTAGCTATTTATTGATAACAATTAGCTATTTATTGCTAACAATTAGCTATTTATTGATAACAATTAGTAGCTAATCCGTTACATAAAAATATCCACTAATTAATAACGATTAACTACTAATGAATTACCATTATAAACTAATTGATAATAATTTGATAATAATTGCTAATAATTAGCTTCTGATTGATAACAATTTGATACTAACTGATAACAATTAGTTATTAATTGAAACAAATACTTATTGTAAACGATTATCTACTAATTAATAACAGCTTGTCACCTCATAAATTTTCCAATTTTGCGACCTTTCCCTTTATGTTCTCTTTAATTTCCAATTCAGCGACCTTTCCCTTTATATTCTCTTTAATTTCCAATTTAGCGACCTTTCCCTTTATGTTCTCTTTAGTTTCCAATTTAGCGACCTTTCCCTTTATGTTCTCTTTAATTTCCAATTCAGTGACCTTTCCCTTTATATTCTCTTTAATTTCCAATAATAAGATGGTTGAGTATAAAATATCCCTACTAGGTACTTGTATTAAACCCCCCCCCCCCTGGATAATGGTTCCCCAGGCTTACATTTATCATTAGTATTCACAATAATCTATTTGTAAAGAAAAGAAGTGTTTTCTATTTAGTGCCTACTTATTAGACTCACTTTAAGGGATTCTTGTTATAATTTAGATTAGGTCTTGGATAATATTAATATTAATAATAATGAAATATTTAGGTATCAAACTACGGCGACAGCACTGGTGTCTAATGGTTTCAATGGTGGTCGTCTTGATTGTATGGAAGAATAAAACATGGTAGAGTGGTAAGAAGGACTTAATATTTCTTAACTAAATTGGACATTTTAGGATTTAATTTTTAACCTTTGTCTGACACGATACACTATACGATTTGGATTTAATCAAGAAATCTTTTAAATTTTCGTCCGTCAAGTATTTTTAGGAAAGTCAATGCGGCAGTTTTTAATTTTTAAATAACGAAGATATCTCTTCATCAATATCTTTAATGAAAGGAATTTTCTAAATCTTATATCTTTGCAACTCAATGTCGTAGTCCTAACATATTTCAAAATATGACTGTAGTTCAAATAAATCCTAGTTTAAAACATTAAAAGGTTTAAGCCATCAGGTTGCAAAGATATAGGGACTAGAACGTTTCAGTTTGTGGCAAAGACTCAATTCCTTTCGGAAATATGAAGTGCACAGTCCCTTTTTACTGCAGGAGGGTCTTGGACCCAGTCCCTTTAAACTGAAGGGGGTTAGTATACACAGTCCCTTTAAACTGTAGGTGGTTAGTGTACACAGTCCCTTTAAACTGTAGGTGGTTAGTGTACACAGTCCCTTTAAACTGTAGGTGGTTAGTGTACACAGTCCCTTTAAACTGTAGGGTGTTAGTGTACACAGTCCCTTTAAACTGTAGGTGGTTAGTGTACACAGTCCCTTTAAACTGTAGGGGGTTAGTGTACACAGTCCCTTTAAACTGTAGGGGGTTAGTGTACACAGTCCCTTTAAACTGTAGGGGGTTAGTGTACACAGTCCCTTTAAACTGTAGGGGGTTAGTGTACACAGTCCCTTTAAACTGTAGGGGGTTAGTGTACACAGTCCCTTTAAACTGTAGGGGGTTAGACATGACAAAGTATTACTGAATATTGTTTATTGTAAAACTATGCAGATAAAACTATGTGTGACGCAAAAACTAGATTTATTTTCCTATTTTCCAATATTCAAACCAGTCAAACAAATTATCTTTTGAAAAATATAATATCCTTTCTACGAATATTAATATCTTCGATATAATTAAACAAGACATTCGTATAAATATATATGTGTTGCCTATAGCCGGCAAAACGGTTGGACCGAATGGGCTGAAATTGTTTGTGGACAATCATGGGTAGCGCCTGGGTGTGTTATAGGCTAAAAAAATTCGAAAATATTTTTTTTCAAATTTTTTTCCACAGGCAACGCCGGGCCTTTTAGCTAGTATATATATATAACTAGGTGGTAAAATTGCCAAGTGTATATATAAAAATAATATATATACTAGCTTGGAAACCCAGCTTTGCTGGGGGTTGTCCACTCACTCAACTAAGACCTTTTACATCATGCTTAGAGCATTTCCGTTGTTCTATTCTGCAATCAAAATTAGAGACAAATTGGTCCAGGGGTTTCTGAGTTATGCTCGGACATCCATTTACAAACAAATAGAGATTACTACTATATGAATAGATATATATCAGGGGGATGATAGTTCTCTATAACCTGTGTGCTCAGTTAGCTGTACAGTACACTTACAACTGTTTACTAATATTGATAGCTTAGGCCAGAATCTCCTTATAATAAACAAATATGTAGTACGCTCTCGGTATAGTTCATAGTCAATTAGTAAAGGATTAGCGTACATCATCACTCTATACACTATAACCTCGTTGATGTATATACATATATATATATGAAAATCAAAACAGCTGTATAGATTAGGCCCTAAATGTTTGTGGTAACTAAAACTACGCATAAAGAGTGCACTATAGGATGGGCCGAGAAAGAATTATCTAGATTGATGAAAAAAAAAGATTTGTAATCCGTCAAGAAAACACGAAAATCTGCGAATTTTACATTGGTATTATTTTTTAGTCTACAAAAGGCTTGCAGAATAACAAAAAAAACTAAAAAAGGCGGGCGGGAAGTATTCCGTAAGGCCTAGTAAAATATAATTGATAGTAGCAGTTTTTAAAACTTTTATTTTTATTTTCTTTATTTTCTTGCCGTTGTTCTTGTATTTAAATTTCACAGTTTCTGAGTTTAGGACCGCCACTCAATTCAAATTTTATGCACTTTTGCAAAATTTAAGCCGGCCCTGGACGAGGTTAAATTCTAGATTTTTAATATTCTAATTTTTCTTACTCAATTCTCAAACCAATCGTGAAACTAAAATCAAAATTTTAGAAATATAACAAATGGATTAGTAATAGAATTAGTCTTGCGCTGGATAAAAACATATCAAGCAAAAATTTAACTTCTTATTTTATCAACGCTTGAAAAAGAACTAACAGAACTGATTACTCAACTCAGACTATAATTTTCTAATGCAATATCTCTGAAACCTGACGTTGTAATCTTCAATATTTCAAACTTTGACTATCTGATCTAGCAGTCGTCTTTATCTGAAAATCATAGGTTTCAGACACCAGCTTGCATAACTATAAGAACTAGGTCATGAGAGTTGTGAAAAAAAATAGGTTTCATGCAGAAAATATTAATATTAATAATAATGAAATATTTAGGTATCAAACTACGGCGACAGCACTGGTGTCTAATGGTTTCAATGGTGGTCGTCTTGATTGTATGCCTGGGTATATTTCTACCAATTTCAAGGTATATAATTGTATTAAATCTAGGAAAACTGTATTCTTAAATCTAGTCTTAAATCTAGGAAAACTATATTCTTAAATCTAGGAAAACTATATTCTTAATTCTAGGAAAACAATATCCTTAAATCTAGGAAAACTATATTCTTAAATCTAGGAAAACAATATTCTTAAATCTATGAAAATTACATTCTTGTATCTAGGAAAACTATATTCTTATTTCTAGGAAAACTTTATTCTTAAATCTAGGAAAACTATATTCTTAAATCTAGGAAAACTATATTCTTAAATCTAGGAAATCTATATTATTAAATCTAGGAAAACTATATTCTTAAATCTAGGAAATCTATATTCTTAAATCTAGGAAAACTATATTTTTATTTCTAGGTCTGAAGCGTTCAATGCTCTAAGTCCTGCTCAACAGAAGAAAGCTGTCGTTGAACTTCTAACAGAGGTTCCTCTAATCGACGGGTTCGTATTTTTATATTGTTCTAGAGAAAGTCTAATGAATCTTTGCCAAAAACTATATATTTATAATCCAATTTCGTAGACATTTGATATCTTAAAGTATGAATTCTGTCATATCAAAAGATCTAAGTTTAAAATTACCAAGGTTTACATCATCAGGTTGTAAAGATATAGGTAATAGAAAATTAGAGTTTGTGGCAAAGAATCCTTTTTTTCATAATTCAAGCATCTTTATGATAATCAAAATCCTACGACAACAATTTGTTAAATTGGTTCGAAACGTAAATTCATATCGATCATTTAACTAAGGCACATTTATAGTTTTATTTTTTAACAAGAAAGTTGTAAGTTTACTCTAAGTTTGGTTGAAATATTTATCCAAATCTATTTTCTAATGTATATATGACAAATCTTTAAAATAGTCCCCTCATTTAAGAAAAAAAACACAAAATTGAAATTATGATTAGTTAAGAATAAGTTACTTGAGTGTGGATGGTTAATTACTGTTAAACCGGAGATATTAGCGTCAGCTCTCCAAATAATCATATTTTAAATTATTTGAAAATAAAAATGTATTTTTAATTCAGTCTGCATTAAAAAAGAGATTTTTACAAGATTTTGCTAAAAACTGTATTTTCAAGAAGTAAGAATTTAGCTAGCTGCTGTATCCAGGAAATTGAGAGAAAATGGTTGAATGTTTTGTTGGAGTTCCTAGATTGACATTTGTGGGATGGATTAGTTTCTCAATAATATGGTTCTTATCCACCCTAGGAGTATTCTAATCCAACCCTGGAGTATTCTTATCCTTAACCCTGCAGTATTCTTATCCAACCCTGGAGTATTCTTATCCAACCCGTGGAGTATTCTTTTTCAATCTAGGAGTATTCTTATCCAAACCTTGAGTATTCTTATCCAAACCTTGATATTCTTATCCAACCCTGGAGTATTCTTATCCAATCTAGGCGTATTCTTATCCAACACAGGAGTGTTCTTATCCAACCCTGGAGTATTCTTATCCAATCTAGGAGTATTCTTATCCAACCCTGGAGATTCTTATCTAACAGTTGACAAGTGTTTCAAGTTCCAGTATTTGTTTTTTTTTTCTAAAAAACGATTTTCCAAAAAATTAAGAAAAATATTGACCCTAACAATAATCCGCCTCAAATATCATTCAGTGTAATATGCTTATGAAGGAATATATACTGAAGTCAGGTGTAGAACTAAGAGTAAGGTTCGGGATCTATGAGATATATTGATATATTCATATTTTATCCTGACACAGAATTTATATGAGAAACCTTTACACTCCACCATACAGAAAACAGTTTCTCTGTGGCGGTAAAGTTTATAAAATATATGAACTCAATCCTCTCTCTATCTCTCTCTCTAACCCAGAATATCTTCTAGAAAATATTTCTAATCCTGTTTCCTTTCAATATAATCCTTATTTTCAAAATCTCTTCGTTTCCCTTTAATCCTATATTTCTCCATCCTTCTTTCTTACCCATATCCTTCTCTTCTCCTTTAACCAATATCCATATATCTAGCCTTATTTTTAGCAACATTTTATTTATCTTTCCTCCGTCCTCTCTCTCTAATCCTAATTTGTTCTAAAAAGTATTTACATCAACAGTTCTAATTCAGTTTCTTTTTAATATAATCCTTATCATCTATATATTTCTTCTTCTTTTGTTTTCTTCACTTATATTCTTTAACCAATATCCCTCTTTGTCCTTCTCTATCTTTTTCCTTTATCAATATCCTTCTTTATCCTTCTATTTCAGTCTAATCCTTCTTTATCCCTTTTCTAATCCTTACCCGGAATTCTTCTTTTTCCTTCTCCTTTAACCAATATCCTTTTTTGTCGTTTGCATCCAGCCCCAGTCTTGTCTCTTATTTGCCTCTAGCCTACGATAAGTATATGTGTTTTTTAATATTCTTCCCGTACAATTTTTACTGTTTCAATCTCTCTTTTCCTTCTTTTATCTCTTGTAGAGAATATGTTAAGATTCCAGGATTTTTTCTAAAACCTGCCAAATTCTAAATGTTATAACGTGAATGTAAGGAAAGAAACTATTTCAAATTCAAGAAAACAAAGTTTAACCATTTTCTTTAAAAATCTTTTCTTTTAGTTTTATTCTTACTTTGATTGAATGAAGCAGCAATCAATGAAAGTGAAAAAGTAAATCAACGAACTTATTACATCTTTTATGACACAAAATGAAAGTGAAAATTTAATCAACGAACTTATTACAGCTCTTATGACAAAAATTAAGGGAAAATTAAATCAACGAACTTATTACAGCTTTTATGACACAAAATGAAAGTAAAAAATTAAACCAACGAACTTATTACAGCTTTTATGACACAAAATGAAAGTGAAAAGTAAATCAACGAACTTATTACAGCTTTTATGACACAAAATAAAAGTGAAAAAGTAAATCAACGAACTTATTCCAGTTTTTATGACACTAAATTAATTTGGTGCTTTCTCTATTAGTTAGTTTCCTTTTTCATTTCGTCTTCAATCCTTCGGCTAAATTTTTTAATAAAGACCAGTATTTTTGGATCTTTAATTTCTTCAAAAAACGTTGATTTATCGTTATTGGTCCATCGGATTAAGTTATTTACATAGCTTAAACACTTAATCGCTTCAAATTAAAAGTTTTCATGGTGCAAGCGTCGTAGATTAGTGCTATTTCGTGCATAAATTCCTACCTCAGAATTTCGTAAAACAGACTGTATCAATTATAAACAATCCTGTGTACGAATTTTATTAATTAAAGCTGCGTCTCCATTCCCCCAAAAACCGGTTTCAATTGAGCGCCGGCTAAAATCTTGAAAAATTTAATACAAATTTAAGTGGAACCATCAAAATTTGAGCCGCGGCTTAAATTTAAACCGAGACTCAAATTCTTTAAATTCGGCCTCTGATTTCTCGAATTCTTTCCAGGAAAAATCTTATTAAACATTTTTCAAAATACATTATGATAATTAACAATTATAATTGTATATTTCTCAGTCTGCGGAAAATGTCAATGTTAATGTTTTCCTTATGCGTCTAAAATGTTTGAAATTAACAAATTATAAAAACAAATGCGCAAAAAAGTAAACTTGTATTTTTTGATTTCTCGAGGAAAGGAGTTGCAAAGATATAAGGAATTAGAAAATCACAGTTTGTGGCAAAGATTCAATTCCTTTTTATAAATTCATTTACAAAGGAAGGCTTATCAATTTCAGAATTTGAGAAAAAAAAATGTTTAAAAGCCAAATAACCCCTTTATTGTCACTCCGCTTTTGTTCCGTCCCGATGACTTTCCTTAAATATTCTTTTCAAAACAGCTGATCAAATAAAAATTATGAATGCTATACCCTCATTTAAAATTCGTGAACACTTCTATATATTATATATACTTTACTTTTGTTTCTCTGTTTGTTTGATTGTCTGCTTGTTTGTACCCGATTAACGTCTAAAAGGCTGAACCGATCGGGTCTAATTTTTTTGTGGGCCTCACATGATCCCAGGAAAAGTTTAGGTATGGTTAGAATTTAAAGATATTTTTCTTAAAAAATTTAGATTTTTCAAAAGATGGGCGCGCTTGGAAGTCTAGTTTTATACTTTGGTTTTTAATCCAAATTATTTTGTTTAGGCACAACGACCTTGCCTGGAACCTACGAAAATTTGTGCACAACAAGCTGGAGAAGGTCAACTTGTCCACCAATATCAAGTACCTAGAGCCTTGGTCCGTATCAAAGTAAGTTAAATAAGAAACCTCAACATTTTATTTTCTAATCTTTTCATCTTTAACCCCTAATGTTGTTGACCTATGATACGGGGTTACCCATAAAGTATGTGACTTCACAGACGACTGTGCTGAATTTGTTCTGTCTGTAACTATAAACTTCTTTCTTTCTTTGCCAAATCATTCAGTAAGCCATTGAAAGACCACATAATTCAAGGCAACATAATTAATTTAAACTTGATATCGTTTACATGTGAAGAGTTTCGTCCTTACAGTCTCATCCGTTGTGGTTAACCCTGTATTGCAAATTGGTCACAATTTAAAGTTTAAAATATCTATGGTTTACACGATCAGATTTTAAATATATGGTGATTGTAAAATTAAGAGTTTGAGACGAGTGATCAATTTGTTTCAAGCTTCGCAGTAATTTATCCGAAAATGATTTACATCAAAACTAATTTATTTGTATGATATTTAATCAACGTTATCCCTAGATGGTCACACACTGATTTACTACGGTTACGAGAAGGAAGGGTGGGTGCTCAGCTATGGACTGCTTATGCTCCGTGTGGATCTCAACATAAGGACGCTGTACAGATTACCCTAGAGCAAATAGATCTTATTAAACGTATGGTGGAACAGTATTCGTCCTACCTACAGCTTGCACAAACTGCTCAAGGTACAGAAATGTATACTGCAGGTATAGTAAACGTATGGAGGAACAGTATTCGTCCTACCTACAGCTTGCACAAACTGCTCAAGGTACGGAATTGTATACTGCAGGTATAGTAAACGTATGGTAGAACAGTATTCGACCTACCTACAGCTTGCACAAACTGCTCAAGGTACGGAATTGTATACTGCAGGTATAGTAAACACTGTAAATTATCTGTTTTTCATCAATGGCCTAATATTCTAATAATCTAACTTCAGTATTAAAATTGGACGAAATAAGGAAGCAAAGATAAAAGGATTAAAAAATGTAACTTGAGTCTGGTGTGCTGTACCTATGATAGAAAAATTGTCATTTACTCATTTTGTTTTCTTCCTTTTTCCCCGCATAATGTGTTTCGTAGCCGTTTAACAAATTCTATAGTACAATACATCCATACAGGGCTATCCATAAATATTGAGAATTTAGAGACGACTGTACGGAATTTATTTAGTCTTTCTTATTGCATTCCTGGTCTCATACAGCTGTACAATTGTTTCGTTCTTTTCCAAATCATTGGGTTTCAGGTTGTCCTAATAAGCTTACTTTTTTGTCTGACCCTGTAGCATAATTCTTCCATCCTTCTCTTAAATATCAATATTCTACCAACTTCCCTAAATTAAACAATTTTACAATAGTTCTAGTTTGAAATTTCTATATTGTGAGTGTGTATAATTCTTCTGGATTGGTAGTTGGGAGCTCATATAAAATATTTTATGAATATATGAGAGGAGTTTAATGTTGTAGGATGGTTTATGTCTACTACTACATATTGCTGATCCCTGAGTTTAGATCTGTAAATCTCTGTATTTCTATCTTACAACCAGGGTTTCAGTATCCAAGGGCATATACAGGAGTGGGGGGGGGGGGCAGTTAGGGATAAGTGCCCTACACAAGACTTTAAAAATCCCATATCTCCCAAAGTTTTACAAAAAAAGTTGTGTTCCCCTTACATTCCCGCATATTCGACAATTTTCCCCCTTCCTTTGCGAAATTATTTCCCCTTCTAGATTAAATATTGTTTTCTATTTTTTCCGCATCAATTTAACGTCACAATACTCTTTTCGGAAACTTTCATACAGGGTGTCCCAATAAACATGGAATTCAGTGACGAATTCGATATCGTCTTTATGAATAATTCTTTGATTTAGTTTAGTGATACCTACTTAGAAAGCTGTAATTCGTAAGATTTTCGTCTGCTATGTTTTCAATTTGTTTGTTTATGTTTTGACTACTTAAGGGTGTATTTAGTAAAACAAGAAAATTACAGTATATACACCGAGTAAACTTGTCAGACTTCACAGTTCATCTTGCAGACGTACACATTATAGACACATCTAACCCATTTACCGTTTTCATAAAATAAACTCTCGCAGACATAATAATATAATGGATTTTGAAAGTAGGTATTACAATGCTGATTCATAACAAAGACGATATCGAATTCGTCATTGAATTCCCATGTTTATTGGGACATCCTGTACTTCACCCTTTTTCAACATTTCCGGAAATCTTCTTAATTAATTATTTATAATTATTAAGAAAAGAATGAGTAAGGAGTTTACATTATAGAACTAAAATTGAACAAGCATACACGAAAATCCATCTTTAATTTGCCATATTTTCCTTTCAAACTGAGAGACTAGAATTAAGCGCAATTTTGTATTGAAATATTTGTGGCTATACATGTCAACCCAATGTGTGTTGACCTTACATAATTCTGTTACATCAAATTATCTACAAATAAACCCTAAATATTAAATACATTGAAAGAATTTGTGAAATGTCGTCTTGACAATTTTTCTATGGGTTTTATACTATTTTACGTAAATCTCAGTATTTGCGAAAATAAATAAATAACCATGAATATGCGGGAACAGTTTTAAAGAGCTCCATATAATCATTTAATTAAAAAACTAAATATCTGCAACATTCCATTATCAGAACGTGAAGAATACGACATTTGATGAATTCTTTCGATGTATTTAATATTTAGGGTTTACCTGTAAGTAAAAATATCTAAGGTTTTCACCATCACGTTTCAAAGATATAGGGATCTGCAAATTTGTGTTTGTGGCAAAGACTCGATTCCTTCGAACTGACCTTAACTTCACACGATGCTTTAAAATTCATTTCTTTGCTCTAAACTATTTTTTTTGCCCTAAACCAAATAAAAAATTGTAGAAAAAATGATGTAACAGTTTGGTTGAATTTTAACTTAAAATTCTAATTAGCATGTCTTTAAAACGTTTTCTTCAGGAAAAATATTACAAAAAAAATTAAGATTTAAAAGATGAATTTATTTCATAGAAAAAGCTACTTTTCGAAATTTTAGAAGGATGGAAAGGCGATACTTTTATAGAATCATTGATTTTTGGTCAGGCAAGGGGGTTGGGGGTGGGGTAGAGGGTGGGTATGATTGTTTGGGGGGTAATACAGGGTAAAGTTTGAAAGTCTGTAGAGTTAGAGTGAGGGTAGGAAGTTTCTAATTATATAAAATAATATTAACAGTAAATTTGGTTTTCACTTTTCTGTATAATCAATACTGGTGCAGAGAGAAACTCTTTGATGTATACTAATAAACCTAGCTTAGGATTCTTCTAGAGTATATACATCTCTAAACTACAAGAAATACATACAAATCTTTTCAAAAAAATTCTATTTTAAAAAATCACGAAAGATGTTATTATGTTTCTTTGGTGGGAGCAAGAATAGGGGAAACTAAGTGCTAAAAACTAACATGGCTGAAATCTCTGATTTGTCTTTTTGCTATTTATATTTAATTTATTGATTTTTTTTTCTATTTAAAATTTACAAAAAAAATCACTAAAGCGGTGATTTATGTTTCTTTGGTTGAAGCAAGAATAGGTGAAACTAAGTGCTAAAAATTAACAGGGCTGAAATCTTTGATTTGTCTTTTTGCTATTTAATTTATTGATTTTTTTTTCGGAGATAGCAGACCAACAAAGTATTTGCTTAAGCAAATTAAAAAATTAGTAAAAATTGAAAATTAAGGTAAATGGATCGGAATATGGGGGAATGGGCATGTTTCATTAATTATAATTAGCATATGTGAAGGTTATTTCAGTATGAAGTCAATCCTTTTAGAAATGTAACGTATAGAAACCGCAACAAGGCGTATTTTCCGAAGAACATTTTTTATATTTTTGAGAAATTAAATAATCAGTGTAAAGTAGATATAGTTTTCATAAAATCCTTTTATCTAAATGGTAAAACGGAATTTTATGAAATCATATTAGCATTACTGGAGAACTTTTTTTATACTTTAAGAAATTTCTCAAATCTAAAAACAAAACTGTAGATAGCATTTTTATAAAATATTTTTTAATAGTAACACGCCATTTTATGTATATAACCATATAATCATTCATTTATGTTGTCAGTACATAATAAACTCTGGGAAACCTTAAACACAATAGAGAGCAGTACAAATGTACGTATTAAACTATTTGGCTCCTTTAATGTCTAGGGTATGTTAAAAAAATAGAAATTATGATAATGATAATGATAAGCTACAATGTTTTACAAAAACGTTTAATTTCTCAAAAATATAAAAAATGTTCTCCCGGAAAATACGCCTTGTTGCTATACGGAGCTGTTTCTATACGTTGGATTTCTATAAGGTTTGACATCTTTCAGGAAGTATCATCTCTAAAAAGATTTGAGCAACTGGGATATGAACGTTTTGCAATATATCAAAAAATCCGCAACATGTATTTGCAAAATAAAACACAAATTCAGTTTTCCTATACACCAGTATTTCGATAAAACGTTTCACGCGCAGTTTCACCTTGTGTAGGCGGAATAGATAAAACTAATTTAGCCAAGGTCAAGAGCTACCTCAGAGTTTTTAAAATTCGTCGAAACCTCCTTTTGTTAAAGAGTTATTACTTTTCAAAGTCAACCCCGCCGAAACACTTCTAAGAGTTTTAGTCAATTTTTGCACTAGAGCTATATTATGCATTTAAGAAAATGGCGGTCATTTTTAACACTATTTAAAGAAAAAGAAGTGAATCCAGTTATAAAACAAAACGTTTATATTTTGATTACTAACATTTTTTTACAGATTGGAAAAATTCCAAACAATAACAGAGTTACAGCAATTTGAAAAATTGGCAAGATTAAAGGGACATCCTGTATATAACTAGCAAAAGTGGAAAAAAATCGAATTATGAAAAAAGTCGAATTTTTTAGCCTTTGTTACCACTTATAAGATACCCTTGGGTTTTCTCAAAAAATGTCGGTCTATTTGATCCAGCCGTTTGGCCAGCTATAGCTATATATAAAAATATATATATATAAGAGCGAAGAGTTTAATTACATAAAGAATATAAATAAAATGATTTTAGTCCGTCAACCATGACCCAACCTGGCATAACAGAGGTTTCTCTGAAAGATGTGGAAAAGTAAAAATTGCTGACTGTTTGCAGTTTTCTAAACCTTTCTCTTTAAGTATCATGTCATTTCTTATAAACTTTCTCAGCTTCAGAACCTGTAACTAGAGTTTCCATCATAAAGAGACAAATATATCAAACCATTTATTAAAATCATTAAATATAAGGAACTAAACACTTGCAACAAATTCCTTTTTTTAATCTCTATATCTTTGCAAACTGGCGGCGTAAACCTAGACTAATTGACCTGACCAAATTCAGAGTTTGAATTTTAGTTTCCATAGTATATAAGTTTACAGTTTAATACTTCCTTTGTAATTCGTGGATGAAGTTGTATTGTATGTTTGTTAGAAGTTCGAACCAGGATTAGATTTAACACAATAAATCCTCTCTCTTCTGACGCCATCTTTTGTTGTTTAGAAATCACTGATGCTCACAAGTCTGGTCGAATTGCCAGTCTTCTAACTGTAGAATCAGGACACAGTATTGGAACCAGTTTAGCTGTACTCAGGCAGGCCGCCATATTGGATTTAGATTACAGTTTACTGAACTTTATATATTGAATTCTTGAACCCTTTTCTTAAACGGCAAATCATATTTTCTCGTATTTGCTTTTCTCAACAATATTTGGCATATTGACATTTTTCTGGCGGTTTCTCATCAGATTTAAACATTTTAAATGTTGACCACTGGCACAATTGAAACTCTTTTCAATAATTTCCTGTGCATGAAAAAGTTTTATGACAATAAGTGACTTGACTGAACCCTGCTTTCAATTTTGAGAGGATTTGACAAAGGATTTTGCAAAATCTTGATTTAATTATAATAATAAAAAATAAATGACAATTCTTTTTACATTACTGCAATGATTCCACAATTCCTCTTCTGTGTTTACTGTTAATTGACAAATGAAAAAACAAAGTTCTAGATATTATTTTTCAATATGGCCGCCAAACAGAATGTTCCAACGTCTGGGGGTTCGAGTTCTAACCCTAACACACAACTGTGATACGCCCTGGTAAAGTAATATTATTAATAGATTAAATAATTTAATTGTTCTTATATAATTAAGCATATTTAAGGGCTGTGGTATAACATAAAGGAAATGAGTTCTTGCCTCAAACTCTAATTTTCTAATGCTTCTATATTTCCAACCTCCTGATGTAGATCTTCGATATTTCCAACTTTTTGATAATACATAATTCATAGTTTGAACTAAAAAAACTAAAACATTGTCCAAAATATCAAAGTTTGAACTAAAAAACTAAAACATTGTCCAAAATATCAGAGTTTGAACTAAAAAACTAAAATATTGTCCAAAATATCAAAGTTTGAACTAAAAAACTAAAATATTGTCCAAAATATCAGAGTTTGAACTAAAATCTAAAACATTGTCCAAAATATCAGAGTTTGAACTAAAAAACTAAAACATTGTCCAAAATATCAGAGTTTGAACTAAAATCTAAAACATTGTCCAAAATATCAGAGTTTGAACTAAAAAACTAAAACATTGTCCAAAATATCAGAGTTTAAACTAAAAAACTAAAAATTGTCCAAAATATCAGAGTTGAACTAAAAAACTAAATATTTTCCAAAAACATTAAAAGTCTTGAAAAATTACCAAAGCTAAATGTCCATAAATGTCCATATAAATTGATACATTAACCTCAATAAGAGTATCCATGTAGCAGTGGCAGATAATTATTTTTTAATTAGAACTCATGAATATTTTTAGGGCTGACTGTTCTCAGGCTGATAAACCTGGTGCCAAACCTACTCACAATGGTCTCACAACCTTCGGACAGGTATACGGCTGATAATACTGCGGTCTTTATAAAGTAGAGCTGATTATACTGTGGTCTTAAGAAGTATACTGCTGATTATTCTGCACTCTTTAATAGTATACAACTAATTATTCTGCTTTCTTTAGTATGATTATAGTGCTGTCTGTAGTCTAGCTGAGTATACTGTGGTCTGTAGTCTAGCTAATAATACTGTGGTCTGTAGTCTAGCTGCTTATACTGTGGTCTGTAATCTTGCTGATTATACTGCGGTCCGTAGTCTAGCTGAGTATACTGTGGTCTGTAGTCTAGCTGATTATACTGTGGTCTGTTGACTAGTTTATTATACTGCGGTCTTTAGTCTAGCTGATAATACTGCAGTCTTTTGCCAAGCAGATTATACAGCAGTTTGTATTCTAACAGATTATACTGCGGTATTTTTTCCAGCTGATTATAATGCGGTTTGTATTCTAGCAGATTATACTGCGGTCTATAATCTAGCTGATTATTCTTCGATCTGTAGTCTAGCTGATAATACTGCAGTCCGTAGTCTGGCTGATTATACTGTGGTCTGTAGTCTAGCTGATTATACTGCGGTCTTTAGTCTAGCTGATTATACTGCAGTCTTTAGTCTAGCTGATTATACTGCGGTCTTTAGTCTAGCTGATTATACTGCAGTCTTTAGTCTAGCTGATTATACTGCGATCTGTAGTCTAGCTGATAATACAGCAGTCTGTAGTCTGGTTGATTATACTGTGGTCTGTAGTCTAGCTGATTACACTGCGGTCTTTAGGCTAGCTGATTATACTGTGGTCTTTAGTCTAGCTGATTATACTGCGGTTTTTAGTCTAGCTGATAATACTGCGGTCTCTAGTATAGCTAATTAATATGTGGTTTGTAGTCTAGTTGATTATACTGCGGTCTCTAGTCTAGCTACTTAGTCTGTGGTTTGTAGTATAGTTGATTATACTGCGGTCTCTAGTCTAGCTACTTAATCTGTGGTTTGTAGTCTAGCTGATTATGCTGCGGGCTCTAGTCTAGCTACTTAATCTGTGGTTTGTAGTCTAGTTGATTATACTGCGGTCTCTAGTCTAGCTACTTAATCTGTGGTTTGTAGTCTAGTTGATTATACTGCGGTCTCTAGTATAGCTACTTAACCTGTGGTTTGTAGTCTAGTTGATTATACTGCAGACTTCAAGACTACCTTATTACACTGCATTATTAAGCTATCTATTTCTGTATTGTATACTGAACATTGCAGTCTGTAATTTAACTGCAGTTAATTGCTCTACAATTGTTGCAGTTTAAAGCATGAGTTTTCCTTTTAGAAACTGTGGAATCTAATTTTGTTATTTTATTGTTTTTATTTATTGACAAGTGATACAGGGTGTCCCACATCATATTGACAACTGATACATGGTGTCCCACATCATATTGACAACTGATACAGGGTGTCCCACATCATATTGACAACTGATACATAGTGTCCCACATCATATTGCATACATCGTGCATAGATCTAAAAAGGGATTTTCAAGATTGAACAAAACATTAAAATAGATTTACTCATATTAGAAAATTGTAGAATAGAAAAGAAAAATGTGCATGTAGAAATTACTCGGTTTTTTAATTTCGGTATTAAAGCATCGATTGATAATCCAATAGGATGAAGGACGCTTTGTACTTTAAAATATTCAATAGAAGCTTTCAGTCTCACAACTCATAAAAAACGTGTAGGTCCTGTTTGATTATCATAATTAATATTATTAATAGCCATATTTATTTTGCAGAGAAAACATCTTTTGCTTGTTTGCTTGTTTGTCTGTTTGTCTGTTTGTCTGTTTGTATGTATTCAATAATCGCCCAAAGGTTTAACCGAACATGAACTAAGATGAACCTATGGAAGGTTTAAAAACTTTTGTCGACATTTATTGTTTAAAAAATGCACTAGTTTCAACAGAAAAATCTGCAAAAAAAAAGTTTTCTTGGAGAACGGGGAAAAACGGTGCTGCAAAAGTAAAAACTAAACTTAAAATTGCTCTTTATAAAAAAGCGCGAAGCGTTCTAAAATACTTATATTTTTAAAGATTAAAGTCCTGGGGCGGGGTGTGTAAGGGGGGGAATGGTTATAATGTTAATTGTGATTTATATTCTTTTTCTTTCTCAATAAATATTGGTAAAGATGGGAGTTTGAAGATGAAGATATGTGGAAAAATTCCAATATTTGAATTTTCTAAAAATGCTTAAAAGTTTAGCATGTTTAAGATTCCTGATAGAACCCTTGTTTTGGGCAGAATATGTAAAGTTTGAAACTGAGTTTAAACTTTAAACCCTGATCATACAACACTACAAACATTGTCCTCCATATTATATATATTCACCACATTTTGCCGGGAAAATGTGCGAAAAAAATGTAAATTTTGGTGATATGTTTGGTGAATTAAGATGAAGAAAAAATTAATAAAAGAATGACTAAAATGTAGAGCAAAGTTTTGGCATAAGATAGGTTTTTTTTTTATTTCAAACCTTTGAATTTTACTATTGACCTTGTGATTTTACTCAAACCTCTGAGATTTTACTCAAACCACTGTGATTTTAGTCCAGAGTCTTTTGATTTAACAAAAGAATTGAGTCTTCGCCACAAACTCTGATTTTCTAATACCTATATTACCATTTCTCTAACCTTAGATATTCAAAACAATAAATTCTGTTAGATAAAATATTCTAATTTCGAAATATTAAACGTTTGAAAAGATATTTGGATTAGAAAATTTGAGTTTGTGGCAAAATATATTTTGTCCATTTTATTTTAATAAAAAATATTTTTACCTATGACAGGATTTTTAATCTTTTTTTAAAAATTTTGCAAAGGAATTGAGTTTTTGCCACAAACTCAAACTTTCGACTCCCTATATCTTTGCAACCTGTCGGAGTAAACCATTGATATTTTAAGCTTAGATTATTTGTTTGGATTATTTTAGATTATTTATTTGGAATAACTAAGGTCTACGACATCGAGTTGCAAAGTTTGAATTTTTTCAATTTTTGCCTATTCTTTAAAGAGAGCCTCACAGTTTTAAAACAATACATAACAATTGCAATTATGGACAACAGAAACAGAATTTTAAATTGGTTATATGAAAATATTCACACACACACCCCCCCCCCCAAGATAATTGTGTGTCAAGTGCCCCAGGAGAGATAGGGTTAAGCTACATCATTGTTTGAACGGGCTTGTAAGTTTTAAACTTTTTGAAGAATTGATCGAATACTTGTTCCGCATGATTTCTCATCAATCTGCAATGATTTTGCAATATTCTTTTCGTAAAACTGATAAAAAGATATTGCAGAATTTCGACCCTGTTCAAATACGCGGATATTTTGCAATACTGAAACTTTTTTTGATTTGTGAAATAACAAAAACAATTTTACAATATTCCGTCCGGATAACACGAGTCATGAGACATGACGCTATTCTGTTGAAGGGACTGAATAGGTAATTTTATGTGAGCCTCCATGCAAAGATGGCAATGCCCGATTCACAATGGCACCCTTAAAACCTTTGACTGATCAATGCTGTCGGGCTTTAATCTACAAAAGCGCGTTAAATTGTTGGAAACTATGTTTTAAGTTTAAAGTTTTTACTTTCTAGATCGTGCAGAATATAAATATTTTCTTTCGAATTATTGGAAACCGTTTTTTATGTCAAATATTTGGTTAAGTTACACAAGTAACACATCAGCTATGTTAAGATCAAACTATACACGGCGTACACCGCATTTTAGAAGGATTAAAGTGGTTTTCAAGATATTTATACACAGAGCTCTATTTTCTCTTTACTCTATGAGCAGTCCAAGGTTTGAAGGGTACTGTTGTAAATCGGGCATTGTCCTCTTTGCATATAGTGTCACTTGAAATTACGCTTACAGGTTCAACCAGTGAGTTGTTGTGTCCAGAATGATTTGTATACTGGTTCTGAATTCTTTAAATAGGGTTTCCAGCGAACTTTTTTTGTCTCGCGAAACGATTTCCCTATTTCGCTGGAAACCCTGAACCCCCGACCTCGTGATCATCAAAAACAAAGTTGGAAGTGAAAACTCCTTTCATGTCTGGATTGGTCATCCTTCCTTCTCAAGAGAATATTTCAATTAAAAAACTTTCTCTCTTTCTTCTTTTCTATGTTTCTATTATAACAAACCGAGGGAAGGAAGGCCAACCACAACAATATCTCGTCCGAGCCACATTCTCCTCATTTTCGCCACCACGAAATCCTCGTCCTTCCAATATTATTTTATTTAAATCCTTGCAGATAAATTATTTTTTTGAAAATCTAGCGACGTTAGGAAAAAAACACTAAATTTTCCCAAAACAATTTTTGAATTTTTGAAGAAAATTAAGATGCTCCATGAACAATGTTTTACAAATAAGCATCTCTACGGACGGTTCGGACGAATAAAAGGGGAAGAATGTGGCTGGGACGAAAAATTGCTGTGGTTGGCCTTCCTCCCCTCACAGAACCCTCGTTTAACATGATTCCTATTATTCACAGGAATTTTTAATATAAAAGTGTAATGAATATATTTCTTGAAAAAGTAGCATTGGCAATAAATTTTCAGAGTAATAAATAAAGTTTTTCTCCTCTTTATACAGCTTACTGTAGATAATATACAAAATAATTGCTTATGTACTGAAATATTTGATAAGTAGGTTTTCTTGAGGACAAGTATACAATCACATACACACACATATATCCTTATTATTTATTCATATATGCTCAGTATTGAGACTATAGGAGATCAATAGATATATGATTGCTTTGTTGTTCATATACGTTTTATTTTTATTTATCTTATCATTTTCTAAAACCTTTTTTCTTTTTGTGTTCTTAATTTTTCCAATTTTCATTAATTTCTAAAAAAAAGTATTTTTTTTTATTTCAGACTGTTGTGAAGGAGATGAATCGACTGGGAATAATTGTCGACTTGTCGCACTCGAGTATACAGACTGCACGCGACACTCTGGCTGTCTCTGAAGCGCCGGTCATCTTTTCACATTCTTCCGCGCATGCGCTTTGTAATTCAACCAGAAATGTTCCGGACGATGTCTTAAGAATAGTGGTAAGAATACTTTTTTCTTCTTTTCAGCTTTTTTATGAAAGACAAGTTGGAATCGTCGTGGATTTCCAATAGTTGAAAAATGATAAATGATGTATTGAAAGATTGTACCTCTCATGAGCTTTTCAAAATGTTGTCTGCCTTCTTTGGATCTTTAATATTTACAGAGATATCAAACATTCGAACAAATATGTAGTTATTTAATAAATTGGAATGCGGTCCAATTTCTCAAACATCCGTCAATTTTTCAGGTGCAATAATTGTAAACCACATTTTGGAATTCCCAATCCTTTTAGTTTTTGATGGTAGTTATTTTCTATTGGGATACTTGTATAATGGTGTTGACGGAATAAATGCCACGTGGAAATAGACGAAATAGATGTAATATATCGTCACTTTATTTCCATGTTTGCTGAGACACACTAAGTAAGGTTTTAGTTTAATGGAATTGTTGTTTGAAAATGTCAATAATATTCAACTATTCGCATTAAGTCTATTCTAACGCTCAAAGATGCTCTTGAGAGCCAGAATAATGCGTTTTTCAAATACCTTACCGGACCAAATGCTGTCAGAAGTATTCAGCTGAAAACAAGAGTTATAAAGGTTAGAACTGCTCATTTGGGGAAAAAAGTTTCTTCTGGTCTCCTAGTTTCCTAGTTCCCCCGGATACGGGGCAGCCAACCTATAGCCTTCCCTCTCCCTTCATACAGAGAAATCAACCTACCCTTCCCCTCTCCCTTAGGATACAAGGGAACAACCTACCCTTCCCCTCTCCCTTAGGATAAAGCACATACCCTTCCCCTCTCCCTTCGGATACAGAGGTACCAACCTAGACTTCCCCTCTCCCTTCGGATACAGGGGAACCAACCTAGACTTCCCCTCTCCCTTAGGATACAGGGGAACCAACCTACCCTTCCTCTCTCCCTTTGAATACATGGGGAACCAACCTACCATACCCTCTCCCTTAGGATACAAATAAACAACCTACCCTTCCCCTCTCCCTTCGGATACAGTGAAACCAACCTAGACTTCTTCTCTCCCTCGGATACAGGGAAACCACCCACCCTTTCCCTCTCCCTTCGAATACAGGGAAACCACCTACCCTTTCTCTCTCCCTTCGGATACAGAGGAACCAAACTAGACTTCCCCTCTCCCTCGGATACAGGGAAACCAACCTACCCTTCCCCTCTCCCTTCGGATACAGGGGAACCAACCTACCTAGACTTCCCCTCTCCCTCGGATACAGGGAAACCAACCTACCCTTCTCCTCTCCCTTCGGATACAGGGGAACCAACCTACCCTTCCCCTCTCCCTTCGGATACAGGGGAACCAACCTACCCTTTCCCTCTCCCTTCGGATACAGGGAAACCACCTACCCTTTCTCTCTCCCTTCGGATACAGAGGAACCAACCTAGACTTCCCCTCTCCCTCGGATACAGGGAAACCGACCTACCCCTTCCCTCTCCCTTCGGATACAGGGGAACCAACCTACCCTTCCCCTCTCCCTTCGGATACAGGGGAACCAACATACCCTTCCCCTCTCCCTTCGGATACAGGGAAACCAACCTAGACTTCCCCTCTCCCTTCGGTAATTCAATCCTGGCAATCTTTCTTCTTTATTCCTGTGCGAGACCAATAAAAAGTAATTTTTACTCTTTTATTATCAAACTTCTCCACGGTTTATTGTAGTTTATTGGAGAATATCCCTTATTATAGGCTTGATTAATGATCTCTGCATACACTAAACCAGAGAGGCGCAACTACGTAGAAACTGAGAAGGGGGGGCGGGAACTAGTAACATGAAACATAGAGATAGCTAATAACTGAGGGAATATACAGAGCGTCCCATATCATATTAGATTATCTCCAAGCTTTTGCACCAAAATAAACACATAATACTCGAAAATCCTAGCCCTTTCTGAAAGAAAAGTTTGATATAAGTCTTAATCAATTTTACAAAATGATTCAATCTTCTTAAATTAAGACCCATTGACGATCTAATATGATATGGGACACCCGGTATATTGTCAGTCCGTGCGATCTTCTTGTGGGAAAATGTTTTTGAAGAATTTTGGGACAAAAAATGTGTTACGGGGAGCGGACTTGGAAAATTTGATTGAGTCACGATCCTAGTTCTCATTAGATTAAGCAAAACATTTCAAATGTAACACCTTTAGAATGAATGAAATCATTAGTTTAAGGCTTTTAAGTAGCTTTTTATTCCGTCCTTCGTAAATATGTCTTAACTCTAGACCAAGAGAGAAGCAGACAGGGTTTCATTGTACAAATATATTATGTTTAGAAATATGTGAATTTTGGTGTAACATATACATTTTATAATTCATTATTCATCCCTGAAATATTAATGCAAAATGTGTATCAATAAAAGAAACGATTTATCGTTCTTACAAATAGATATACATATTTGTATCAAATAGATATACATATTTGTATCAAATAGATATACATATTTGTATCAAATTAAATGTCCAAGAACTTTATTTCTTTGGGATTTCCTAGCAAAGGAAATGACTGGAAAACAAAATATTTTCTTTTAAATGATATACAGGGTGTCCAAAACATGGGAATTGAGTGTCTACGAGATCGTCTTTGTTAAGAAGTAGCAGTGATAATACCTGATATCAACAGTCATAATATGATGATGTATGCTAGAGTTTATATAATATGATGATGTATGCTAGAGTTTATATAATATGATGATGTATGCTAGAGTTTATATAATATGATGATGTATGCTAGAGTTTATATAATATGATGATGTATGCTAGAGTTTATATAATATGATGATGTATGCTAGAGTTTATTTTATGAAAACGGTTAAAGCCAAGTAATGTTGTGAAAGGATGTCCACATCAAAATCATTTACAAAGACAATCTTGAAATCATCGATCCATTCCCATGTTTTGGGATACCCTGTATGAAAAAAATTAGGCCTTTACAGTGTACAGTGTATAAAACCTGAACGGGATTAAGAAATTGGTCATGGAGTCCTTTAAAAATCTGATAAAATGAATTATCGGTTTTGCATGATTATAAAACTTTTTTTATGCTTTCCTTTAATTTTGAACTAAAATTCTTTAATTTATTTGGATAAATTTTCATCCATTTTGCAACAAATACCTGCAGTGCAGTAACTCTTATTTGTTCAGACTGAATAAAAAACAATTCCTCTCTTCTCTAAGCCCCCCCCCCCACTCCACTAATCTAAAGTGAAAGGAATTGAGTCTTTGCCACAAACTCTGATTTTCTAATCCATATATCTGGACAATCCAATATCGTCGACTTTAGATATTCCAATCAAAGACCTCTGTTAGATCAAATAATATAAGTTTGAAATTTTAAAGTTTTACACTTTCAGGTTGCAAAGGTATAAGGATTTTAACATTGAGACTCAATTCCTTTTCTTTAATTTGGCGTTCTTTCTGCTAGAAAAACTCATTGTAAGTTAGCTTTGTTCCCCTTTGATGCAGGCTAGGGTTGGGAGAGGGGGGGACTTTAAAAAAGAAAAGTTAGATGGAATTCAACTAAAAATAACACAGTGAGAAAATGACGTCATTTCCCTGAGGATGAACCAGAGAGAGATATATTGAGTCCGGAACTCTTGAAATCTTGAAATCTTGAAATCTTGACGGGATTGAGTTCTCAAAACAAAAATCCACATTTTGTCCCCAGCAACAATTATCCAGGTTGTTATAAAGGGGTTAACACGTTTTTTTTTAAAGTCGAATTTTTTTTAAAAGTCAATTTTATTTTTTAATACTAGCTTTGGGACCCAGCTTTGCTTAGAGAATTCTCTTGAAAAGACGACCTAGCCTTGAATTGTTACCAGGCTAAACACATTTCCGTGGTTCTACTGAGTTCTCCAATTAAAATTTGAGGCAAATTGGTCCAGGGGTTTTGGGGTTATGACCAGACATCCAAACAAACAGACGGACAAGCAGAGATTACTACTTTATTAGATATTTATGTTTCTTTGCAACCTAACTTATGAGTAAGACCTGTAATATTATTTTAATATATTTGATCTGGCAAAATTTATAGTTTGAAATAGCAAAGGTTTCTGACATCAGCTGTTGCATTTTGCAAAGGTAAAGAGATTAGAAAATTAGAGATGAGAAGCCTAATCAGTTTCTATCTCAACTCTTCATCATTTTGTTTTAATGTGGATCTTGTGTACCGCTAGGGCAGTACAATGTACTGCCTGTTTGCATCCATTAAAATTAAAATTGGAAAATTTTTATGGCTTATTTATTATTTTTGAAAATGCACCAATTTAAACAGAAAATATGTGAAAATTTGAAAACAAAGAAAAAAGGCGACTTTCAGAGCAACATTTTAAAGTTAAAATTGTTGAAAGGAATGGGGACGCAAATACAAATATATAAATAAATGTTAATATTCTTTATTATCTCAATAATGGTTTCCACACGTTGATTTCTTTCCGATCTTTCCTTTGTAATATCTCCGGAATAAAGTGTATTATTGCTCCTTCTAGTTCCTGAAATAAATAAATTAAATGTATAGTGATAAGATTAACTATAGTTGATCTAGTTTATATATATTGCTTCATGCTACTACATACATATATAAACCATATTCGGCATAACATCTTTTCATATGACAGTGACAGTCAACAAACATAAGGTTATGGAGTGATTGCTGCGGCTACTGGGAATAAATGGAGATGGGGGGGGGGTATCGATTCATTTTGCCCCCCCCCCCCTCGATGAGTAGAGATAAAGAATTTTGGAAAAGATTAGGTAAGATTAGGACAGATACGGAAAGGACAAATGAGGAAAGATGAGGAAAGATGAAGAAAGATGAAGAAAGATGAAGAAAGATAAGGATAGATGAATAAGGATAGATGAAGAAAGATAAGGATAGAGAAAGAAAGATAAGGATAGATGAAGAAAGATAAGGATAGATTAAGAAAGATGAGGAAAGATGAGGAAAGATGAGGAATGATGAGGTAAGATGAGGAAAGATGAGGAAAGATGAGAAAAGATGAGAAAAAATGAAGAAAGATGAAGAAAGTTGAGGAAAGATGAGGAAAGATGAAGAAAGATGAGGAATGATGAAGAAAGATGAGGATAGATGAAGAAAGATGAGGAAAGATGAAGACAGATGAAAAAAGAAGAGGATAGATGAGAAAAGTTGAGGAAAGATGAGGAGAAATGAGGAAAAATACGGAAAGATGGGGAAAGATGAGGATAGACGAGGAAAGAGGAGGAAAATTTGGGAAAGGTGAGGAAAGCTAGAATAGAATAGACCGAATATATGAAGATAGACCATATTTAGATCTCAATAGAATAGATCTGAATAGACCAGAAAATGAAATAAGATATATTCTTATTTTGATGTAAGGGTAGCCTTTGAGAGAGCTCTCCTAGCAAACTTTAATTGGTATTAATTAAAATACTCAAAGCTTTCAAATATTATAAAATTACTCAAAATACCAATTACGTCATAGACGATTTGTACAATGTAAACTGCACCAAAATCGCACATATTTTCTACCTCTTACACCCTATCCGATAACCTCCTTTACTCCCTTATGCTCCACCCCCTTCCTACCTTCTTTACTCCCTTCTACTCCACCCCATTCCTACCTTCTTTACTCCCTTCTACTCCACTCCATTCCTACCTTCTTTACTTCCTTCTACTCAACCCCATTCCTGCTTTTTTACTCCATTCTACTCAACCCCATTCCTAATTTTTTACTCCCTTCTACTCAACCCCATTCCTACCTTCTTTACTCCCATCTACTCCACCCCATTCCTGCCTTCTTTACTCCATTCTACTCCACCCTCTTCCTACCTTCTTTACTCCCTTCTACTCAACCATATTCCTACCTTCTTTACTCCCTTCTACTCCACCCCCTTCCTACCTTCTTTACTCCCTTCTACTCAACCCTATTCCTACCTTCTTTACTCCCTTCTACTCAACCCTATTCCTACCTTCTCTACTCCCTTCTACTCAACCCCATTCCTACCTTCTTTACTCCCTTCTACTCCACCCCCTTCCTACCTCCTTAAATCCTTTCTACTCCACCTCCTTTACTTCTTTCTACTCCACCCCCTTCCTACCTCTTTTAATCCCTTTTACTCCACCCCCTTACTACCTCGTCTGCGCCCTTATTCTGCACACCTTCATATCACCTGTAATCCCTTCTACTCCACCCCATCCTTCCTCCTTTACTCATACCCTCCTTTAGCTGATTTGTATACCTCCCCACCTCCAACTGTACGGTATCCCTCCACTCCTACAACTGTATGGAATCCCTCCTCCAACTGTATGGTATCCCTACCCTCCTCCAACTGTATGGTATCCCTACCCTCCTCCAACAGTATTGTATCCCTCCCCTCCTACCCACCTCCAACTGTATGGTATCCCTCCCCTCCTCCAACTGTATGGTATCCCTCCCCTCCTCCAACTGTATGGTATCCCTACCCTCCTACAAGTGTATGGTATCCCTACCCTCCTATCCTCTTCCAACAGCATGGTATCCTTACCCTCCTCCAACAGTATGGCATCCCTTCCCTCCTTCCTACCTTCAACTGTATTGTATCCCTACCATCCTACCCCCCTCCAACTGTATAGTATCCCTACCCTGCCACCCTTTTCAACTGTATGGTAACCTTACCCTCCCACCCTCCTCCAACTGTATGGTAACCCTATACCCTACCACCCTCCTTCAACTTGATTGTATCCCTGACCTCCCCCAACTGTATGATATCCCTACCCTACTACCCTCCTCCAACTGTATGGTAACCATACTCTCCCACCCTCCTTTAACTTGATGGTATCCCTACTATCCCTACCCAAGGTTTGCTAATGAATACCCCCCAGGGAAATTAGAATGGTTTCATTATTAAACTAGAAATTAAGAGAACCTCAGACTGAGATGAGAGAACTAGCTTATATTGTTCAGCTCTGCAGATAATTTGCAAGATATATGTAGAAACGCATCTAATATGCAGATATTATTCCACAAATATCATTCAATCTTAACATCTTATTACAATAGATCGACACAGATCAAAGTAATAAAGCTTTACTTTGGAAATCATCATTCTTAAAAATGAAATGTTATGCTAGATACAGATGAATCCAAATATTTTCTTCTGCTTTATTCAAAATAGGTAATCATTTCGTCCTTCGTTTTGTCCTGTTGTAAGATCATTTGGGCCTTTTTTTCTATCCTATCTGAAGAATGAAAAATAATCCGTCTTTGATCTCTGTCCTTTATATCACTCCATGCCTACCTTTTCCTGCTCCCTGTCCTACATAGAGATATATTTATCCATGAACTTGTCCTATGTGGAGATATATTTATCCCTGAACTTGTCCTACATAGAGATATATCTATCCCCGAACTTGTCCTACATAGAGATATATCTATCCCCAAACTTGTCCTATATAGAGATATATCTTTCCCCGAACTTGTCCTACATAGATATATATATATCCATGAACTTGTCCTATATAGAGATATATCTATCCCTGAACTTGTCCTACATAGAGATATATCTATCCCTGAACTTGTCCTACATAGAGATATATCTATCCCCGAACTTGTCCTATATAGAGAAATATCTATCCCCGAACTTGTCCTATATAGAGATATATTTATCCCTTAACTTGTTCTATATAGAGATATATCTATCCCAGAACTTGTCCTATATAGAGATATATCTATCCCCGAACTTGTCCTTTATATAGATATACCTATATCTGAACTTGTCCTATATATAGATATATCTATCCCTGAACTTGTCCTATATAGAGATATATCTATCCCAGAACTTGTCCTATATAGAGATTTATCTATCCTAGGACTTGTCCTATATAGAGATATATCTATCCCTTAACTTGTCCTATATAGAGATATATCTATCCCTGAACTTGTCCTATATAGAGATATATCTATCCCTGAACTTGTCCTATATAAAGGTATATCTATCCCTGAACTTGTACTATATAGAGATTTATCTATCCCTGAACTTGTCCTATATAGAGATATATCTATCCCTGAACTCGTCCTATATAAAGATATATCTATCCCTGTACTTGTCCTATATAGGGATGAGTCTCTCTAGCTCTTCATTTGTCTCATATTTTCCAATTTCTTTACAGAATTACTTTCAAACTCTACAGGTCAAAAGATTTGACAAAAAGTGATTAGCTCTAGAATTTACATTTCTTTTTGGAACTTTCTAGAAAACTTTCTCCATAATTTTTAATTAATTTTTCATAGACGCCACACCAGTGTAACACAACTTATGCTCTTGGAGTTTAAGAAGGAAAACAGGGGACTAGGATGAAGTACAAGTACTGTACATGTGTGAGCGCATGTACATTCACAGTGCAATTGCAAGTACATGTAAATGTACAAATACTGAAAAAAGTGCAAATGCAAGTACTGTACAAATACAAATACTAATAAAATTTTAAGTGCAAGTACATGTACCTATACAAATTTTAATAAAAGTGCAATTAAAGTAAATTTACATATACAAATACTATTACAAGTACACAAGCGAAATTAAATGTACTTATACAAGTCCACAGAGACTATTAACAGTTCCAGAGAAGTACAATGCAGTGCAGGTTGAGTACAAGTAATTTTAAAAGAAACAAAGTAGAAAGTAGCATAAAGATATTTTCTTTCATAATTAGATATTGAATAAATAATAGTTTCAAATTATAAAACTGATTACAATCCTAACTAATCAGGCTGAAAGAAGGGGGCTAGTGATGGTCAATTTTTTCTCCTATTTCCTCACCTGTAGCAATCATTCAACGCTTAATGATGTGATAAGTAAGTAAATTCTACACAACTATGTCAATACTAACCTACAGTGAAGTTCATCCCACCTTCTTGGTTTATTTTCAGTTATATTTTCATCTGTTAATACAACAACTAGATTACCGTGATAATATTCAACAACTAGATTACCGTGATATTATTCAACAACTAGATTACCGTGATATTATACAACAACTAGATTACCGTGATATTATACAACAACTAGATTACCGTGATATTATACAACAACTAGATTACCGTGATATTATACAACAACTTTTGAACACCTTATCTGTACAGCTTAGTACTGTACAGTGATAACCTGAAAACCGTGGAATTGGAAGACGACATTAAGCCATCAATTAAGTATATTTTATGTTGTTTCAAACAAAAATAGGTTTAGTAAGTAATAACTTATAAATGCCTCATTAACTGAAATAGGTCTGTTTACACTGCACAATTGCTGTTTCTCATGTTCATTGAACTGTTAAAAGTCAAAACTTGAGTCTAAAAGTCGTCTTCATATTCCAGAGTTTTCTGGTTCTCACTGTACTTCGTCAGTTCACTTTAATCTAACAGTAGTGAATCTTACACACGTTAAATTTCCTGTCATAAGCCCCCCTATAATTCAAACATTATAAAAATAGAAAATAATATATTTTCATTATATTCTAATATATTCAAACATACGATATATATAATATTCATTCATTTTAGGTCATATAAACCATATAAGAAGAATAGCAGGAATCGATAGTGTTGGAATTGGTGCCAGCTATGACGGAATTAGTGCGTAAGTAGGCTTTATTTTAAAATCACTGCAGATATAATTGCTTGAAAAAAGATTGCTAGGAACTGTTAAAAAAAAAATATTTTTATTAGAGGTGAGATGTAATTTTGCCTTTGTTGCTCCTCAGCATAAATTTAGAATTTTTCCCGAGAAATAAAGATATTTCTTTCTTTCCAAACTAATTTTGCATCAAATAGGAAAAGTTATTTCTTTCTTGCAGCCCTCTAAACTTTTCTTCAAAAGGTTTCAAATTTCCCAAGGTTTATATAATTGTATTCTTGTGGGACTCGAAGCAACCCAGAGCTAGATTGTTTGCAGACAAATATTTTCTCCGAACAATATGACATCACGTGACTCAAGTCTTAATATTTCCAGTTTTACCTTTAATTAAGCTTTATTTATTCTTACTAAGAATAGAGAATTTGCTTTCTGTGAACTGAGGCCGAATTTAAAGAATTTGAGCCGTGGCTTAAATTTGAGACGCGGGTCAAATATGGTTGATTAAAGTGCCGATAAAAAATACATCTTTGTAAACAAAATATTATTTTGATGGATATAGATCATCTTATTCTGTATTCGCAAAGTTTGCACATGCATGAGATCTGTTATGCATAAATGCATTTATTTGCATAGTTTATATACAATGTACAGTGTACATATATCATGTTTATTTATTTGCCTGGGTTTGGGGGGAGTTGCTCTGATAAAAACAAGGATTTATTTAATATAAGTAAGCAAGTAATTATTTGTTTATGAAATATAACAAAAACATACAAAATTAGGTGTTTTTAGGAGAAATTTATTATTTACATTGCATTTAATATAACTGGGTTGTTAGTATTTTTAGACGATGAACTAATAACTTTTGGAAATTAAACTATTGATTTATTTTTAATGTTGAACAAATAAAAATAAAGCTTTAAGGTTTGTGAAAAAGATATAATAATTTGTTGCTCAGGGTACCTAAAGGATTGGAGGATGTATCTACCTATCCTGCTCTCTTTACAGCTCTGCTAGCCAGTGATTCCTGGAGCATAGATGATCTAAAGAAACTGGCGGGTTTAAATTTTCTCCGGGTCCTGAAAACAGTAGAGGAGGTTAGAAAATTATATAATCATTCTGACAAAACGCTAGACAAGATATTTTTATTGTTTCTAAGAAAAAAAATCAAATATTTATTATTCATATTTTTAATTGCTTTAAAAATTAAACTTTTTTTAAAAATCCATTAAAAAATTGATAAATCTGGGAAATTTTTTATGCTATTAAATTGATAATTTAAGAAGAGAAAAGGCCTCAACAATCAAAAGTTCAAATCGAAGATTGGCGTGAAGAGCCCAGTATTATTATATTTGTATTGTGTATTGTGCCCGAATATTGGATTGAATGTTGGCTGTTCGGGAAAAAAATAATTAATTGGGTTTGGGTCTGACAGCTGCATAGTGCATATACAAAAAGGCAATGACTAAAAAGCCAAATTTAGATTTATCAACATTTTGTCAAACTAAATCAATAAAAATGATTTATGACTTCGATAGTGGGAAAGCAAACTTTTTACATTTATCAATAGACAAATTTTATATCTAAAACCAAAGTCGGTTTCAAAACTAACTTTTTTCCCTTCTAACATTTTTTACCCCTGAGTTACATTACAGATAACAGTGCGTCTCATATAGTCGAAGAAAGTAAAAATAAGCTTTTATTCTAAAACAAAATGCTTTACAAGTATTTTGAATTATACTGGTTCCAATTGAGCGCCGGCTCAAAATTCGAAACACTGAATACAATTTCAAGTGGAACCAGCGCCTGAACACTTTATTTATGCGTATTTAATACCATTTTTACTCGTCTTCAAATGTGAAAATCCCAAATTTTTAACGATGGGTAAATACAACGTTAGTTGTTTCTAACGTAATTTAATGCCCAATTTTAGAGTAATAATAATAAATACTAATCCTGCACTGTATTTTCTCCCGTGAAAAGTAAACTTCTTTGTAAGGATCTCTGATTTAAAACGTCTGTTTAACTTCCTCACAGGAAGTTCACATGCAGAACACGAGTAGGTATATTTGACAGTACATCGTGAGCGTAATGTCAAATTACTTTACTGCCTTAGAACTGAACTTTTCTTTCCTTCAATAGGAATGTTATGCAACGTACTCCATGAAGTATATCGTATACTGCATGGAAACTTCCTTATTGAAAAATAAATCATCCTGCGAGAAAGTTAAACAGACGTTTTAAATCAGAGATCCTTACACGAAAGTTTACCTTTGACGGGCGGAAATACAGTATGCTGTACTATATATGTACTCCAGGTTTATGTTCAATTAATCCTGGTACTATAAGTGTACTTCAGGTTTATGATTAATTAGTCCTGTTGTACTATAAACGTACTCCGTTTTATGTTTAAATAATCTTGTTGTACTTTAAATGTACTCCAGGTTTATGTTTAATTAATCCTGGTGTACTATAAACGTACTCCGGTTTATGTTTAATTAATCCTGTTGTACTATAAATGTACTCCAGGTTGCTGCTGCAGGTCTCCAATGAGTACCAGAGCAGTCCAGGCGAGGTTCATATTCCAGGGGAGAAGATCAAGGATTCTTTGGATTGCAGAACATCAATTTAAACAAATCGTCGCCAATTTGTTTTATTTCTTAATCAGCTGATTCAACTACACACACGCCGCTAGTCAAATTTTTCTTCAAATCAGCTGGTCTAAAAACCAAGATGTCACCTACTTCTAATTGCCAATCAAATTAGTTTTTTATTCATCGACCACGCTTCTGGTTCAAATTAGTGAATTTTAAGAGACGAAATCAAACTCGCCTATACAAGAAAAAGCTCCAAAGTTGTGCCTGGTGTAAGCTAATGTTTATGTACAGCAGAAATTTCGAAACACATGAAGTTAAGGATATTGAAGAAACCATATGTACCTTGTCACTGCCATATTATGAAAAGTCTCTGAGCTGCAGCCAAGCAGATTAATGTCTAACGACTCCAGTATCGAGTATCCGCACTCAACCACAGCTCAATGTTATTATTAGAAAGTGTAAGTATCGGTAGGATATGTTACTAGTTATTGTTTGCACTGTGCCATATACGGCAGCTAACAAAAAGTAGTGTATAGGCATAGTGTTCAAAAATTAGAAAACGACCCAGAAAAATTGTGCTATTTTACTTGTTCATTAGAGATTTAAATCTTTTAAGAGAAAAATTGTTTTAGATTTACTTTTAATTATTTAATGTTCTTCACGTTGATTGTAGAATTATTTTATCTGATCGAGTTTCGAAAACTAGATTTCCAAAATTATTGGAAAGATGGAACTGTTTTTAATCTTTTTAAAACATAAGGATCCTTTGAAAGAAATGGCCCACCGCGCGTTAAATAATATAAAAATACAGATTTACGATTAAAAGAAGATAGAAGGTTGATGGAATGATTAATACATGGATTTGAGATTTAGCAGGCCTTGAATGTTTCAGGTGTAAAGTAAAGAAAAATGGTTTTGTCGGGAACATTCTTTAACTTGACTCGATGAAAAATATCCAGGACAGAATCTGAGAAGTTTTCAGTAAAGAATAATCTTTCATCCTTTCATATTAAAATCATCCAATATCTCTTAACAGTACACAGTACACATTTTCTTACCAACAGATTTAGATTAAATCCTTTAACAGTAGACAGTGCACATTTTGATACCATTGGAATTAGATTAAATCCTTTAACAGTACACAGTACACATTTTCTTACCAACAGATTTAGATTAAATCCTTTAACAGTAGACAGTGCACATTTTGATACCATTGGATTTAGATTAAATCCTTTAACAGTACACAGTACACATTTTCTTACCAACAGATTTAGATTAAATCCTTTAACAGTAGACAGTGCACATTTT